CCGTGACTGATTTGTTGTACCACACAGAAAGTAATAAATATTTTGGACCAAGTTACATGTGTCCTCAACAATTTAGAGATTTTAAATTTTTTTTATTTTATTTTTTTTTAACGCCGTAACTCACTACTGTTTGCTCTACAGAACAATTTGTGTTCGATTTCTGAATATTTATAAACAAATTTGGGTAATAGTTAGAGTTAATGTCTTTTCACTTCCTTTTTTTTAACACTCACTGCATTTTAGCAGTAATAAGCTACCATACAAAATATTGAGCTGAAGCTTGACTACAAAATTAAATCGCAAATCAAATCGAAATCGCACTGTTAAAAAAATAATAATAATAACAAAACAAAAAAAACGCAATTTGATATGTTGCCCAAACTGCACAGCCCTAGCATCTGCTGCATAAAACATTTGCCGGAATAGTTGGTGGTGGTTCATTCAGCTGTGGCGGCCCCTGATATACAAGAGACTGAGCTGAAGGAAAATGAATGAATATTATCTTCTACTGTTTAATTGTAAATGTTTACTTTCAACATTGACAACTTTCATACATTGACACATTTAATTGCGATTGTTGAATGACTGCATTCAGTTGCTTGTAATTTTCTCTACACTTTCATTACTCGTTTCCATTTTCTCATTCCCTTATTTATTTTAGTTATTTTTATTCATTTTCCCTTATTTTTGACTTTTATTTTTTCTTATTTTTTGTTAAAAACAACAACAACAACAACCACAACAACAACAACGATAACAATTTGTATTGTAATAATGTTTGTTTGTTTTTTTCACAATAATAAATTTGCAAACTCCACACAGAAATGCCAACTGACCCAGCTTGGACCAGCGACCTTCCAGCGACCCTAAAGTGCACAATAAAATTTGATTTTTTTGAAATTTGAAACTTAGAATTGGAAATAAAAGTTAACTTGTATTTAATTTTGGAGCGACGCAGTGACACAGTAGGTAGTGCTGTCGCCTCACAGCTAGAAGGCTGCTGGCTTGAGCCTCAGCTGGGTCAGTTGGTGTTTCTGTGTGGAGTTTGCATGTTCTCCCCGCATTCATGTGGGTTTCCTCTGGGTGCTCCGGTTTCCCCCACAGTCCAAAGACATGTGGTACAGGTGAATTAAGTAAGCTAAATTGGCCATAGTTTTTGAGTGTGAATAGGTGTGTATGGATGTTTCCCAGAAATAGGTTGCAACTGGATGGACATCCGCTGCGTGAAACATATATAAAAATAAATAAAAAATAAATAAAAAAAAAGTTTGAATTACAAAATGTGTGTGTATATATATATATATATATATATATATATATATATATATATATATATATATATATATATACACACACACACATTCAATATAATGCTTATTCCAAAATATTTCCCTTTACTATAAATTACTATAGTGTTTTAATTGTGTAACACCTAGTTTTATTGGAGTTTTTGTTTTAGCTGTTATATACTATAATGTGTTTCTGTTTAGTACAGCATATTATTTACAGTAAATAATTAAACTGAAGTATTTGGTCATTGGATTTAAGGTGCTTCGATTTAAAAATGAAAATTGTAAAATTAGCTTAGATGTTGCTATTTTTGCCATGTAGCTTTTAGCTTAGCTGGCTACATTTCCCAGGGGGTAGCTTTTAGTGTAGTTAAGCTACATTTTAAGTAGAGTAGCTAATAGCTTAGCTCACTACATTTTTCAAATAGCTTGCCCAACACTTTTAATAGTGTATAATAATAATATATTATTAATACTATTAATAATATATTAAATCTATATAGCTCTCTGCAAATCTCACATGGTCGCCTACTAAAGCTAAGCAGTGTGTGCGGTCAGTACCTGGATGAGGGAACACATGGGAAAGCTAGGTTGCTGCCGGTATTCTTACAATCTGTCTTACCTCATCAGAATGTTCTTAATCTGTCATATTTCATCTAAAAAAAAAAAAAAAACAGGGTTAGCACATCTTGTCAGCTTCAGATGTCTATCAGAATGCATTACCTTCTTAAATAAGGGTGTAAAAACAGAGGTAGCGCATTTTGTTAGCTTCAATTACCAGCTACTATAATAAACAAGTAAAAAAAAAAATGAAGGCAGTAGTTCACTTTGATAGACATTTGAAGCTGCTACGCCTTTTTCTATGTTGTTCAATAGAGTAGTA